CCATCTGGACAGTCATTCACAGAATGAAGAATGCTGGAGCCCAATTTTATGGACGTTTTGGATCTTCTAGTGCAGGAGTGTCCAACTCCAGGCCTCGAGGGCCGGAGTCCTGCAGGTTTTAGATGTGTTCTTCATTCATCACAGCTGATTTAAATGGTTAAACGACCTCCTCAACATGTCTTGAAGTTCTCCAGAGTCCTGCTAATGAACTAATGACCAGCAGGTCAAACACGCGGTGCCGTATCACCGCAGTACTGCCACAAGTACAACTTCACAGCTACTGCCACTGTTTACAATTAGAGTTTCTCACCTACGGAGCATGTCACTGTCAGGATCACAGCTGTGTGGTTTCTCAAGTTCTTCGACTTTAAGACGAATGTTTGTTCCACGGCCCATCGATACGGGGTGATGACATTTCCAATGGCCCTCAAACACTGCCGGTAAACTTGCTGTCATCTCCTGACAGTCAGTGGCGGCTGGACGATCCACAATCAGCCAGCATGGACTGGAATTGATTTACATTTGTGCAGAGATTTTGCAAATAATCGCACCATGAGAAAACTGCTCTGGCTTGGTCAGACACACAGTAATAATGTCTCTGCTTAAACAATCTGACCCACTCTGGATGAATTTTTACAAACTGCCCATCGTTTATAAGGACAAAGCTTTTCAAGCTGGTTTACAAGAGCAACAATTGCTGCTTTTTCTAACATCTACAGATGGGTTCGTCCTCGTTGAGTCACTCTGTGCTGCACTATTGTCAGTAGGGCAGCACAGCAGTGAAAATACATTTTAACGGCCAATGAACAAAACATTTAAACAGCTGAGTGCAAGTAAAAAATATGTTGAATGGTTAAATTCTAACGCAAGTCTGCTTCTTTGTGTTTGAATCCGAAGCTTTGTGCAGACACATTTGTCAGTCAGCCTTTACCAAAGAGAAAACCAAGCCTTTAAACTTGAGCTGTAACAATTTGACCCTCAAAAAATGAACATGAAAGCAGCAAAGCCCAAAGAAAATTACAAATTACAGTGGAGAAGAAGGACTTGGCATCATCATGTCTCCAAATCAAGTCGAAATTATTCACACGGATGATCTGTGAGGAAGGAAAATCACCACATCTCCACGTAATCATTCAAATCACTCTTCATAAAGAACTTATCAGCCCTGAAGGGAACCTTTCAGATTTTAAAGGACAGACATTACACATGAATAGGGTAAAATCTTTTACCTAACAGATCTCATTAGAAAACTCTGCCAGTTGATGACCTACTTTAAGGACATATTTTCTTACCTACTATGGGCTTTCTCTGATTTATTTAGTAGAGATTGCATCCTTCTGAATTCAGCATCAGTCTCCAGCTCTCACTGGAGCAGTTTTCCATCATGGAAAAAGGTGGACTGCCATCTCAGGATGGAGAGGAGCTGCTGCCTCAAGTTAAGGAGTTCAAGTATCTCAGGGTTCATACGTAGGGGAGGAGTGTAGCAGGATATTGGTGGACAGATTGTCTACTGTGGTAAAGAGAGCTGTGAAGGCAGAGTTGCTGGTTTATTGGTTGATCTATGATCCGATCCTCCTCTGTGCCCACGAGCTTTAGGCACTGACTAAGATAAACAACAGAATAGAATCTGCTTTGGATTTCATTAAAAAGTTCTCCAGACTGTTTCACATCTGTCATATGTGCTCAGGGTGAATCTGCTCTCACTCATTCACAGCACAGGGCGCCAGTGGTGGATCTGCCAGTTCTGGTATTCTATGGCACAACTAGAGGAGTGATTCTCAAACTGTGGTACACGTACCACTTGTGGTACTTGGGCTCTCTCTGTTGGTAGGCGGAAAAGCTCCAATGTTCTTAAAGATTAAATAATGTACCATTGTGGAGGTATGCAAAGATGACACAAGAGTTTCCGAAGCTCTTCTGGCAGCCTGAGTCGACCAAAAATGTCTCCCCGAGCGTGAGTCCTCTATGAAGAGCAGCCTTTCCTTATCGCCAAAGGTTGCGGCTGTTACAAAGCGCTGGCGGGCTAGTTTCCCTGGGTCTTAAAACTGCAAAGGCGGCACAGCGTTGTCACGCTGATGCTTAAAACACTGCCCTTTTCCGCGGTGCCACCGTGCTGCGATCCCAGCCACCATCGATGAGTTGAAGGCCCCCGGGAGAATCGGTGGTGGTGCAGTAGATGCTGTCGGTGAGTCGGGAACTATCGCCTGGATGCCGAAGCACCTGGTTGCCAGGAGAATCTGATCCGCTTCTGCGAGTGAGCGGTAATCCTTCGCGGCCAGCAGCGGGGAGTTGGCAAGGCCAGCTCGCACCGGCACCTGTCAGAGGAAGACGTGAGTGAAGAGGAATCCGCCGTCATCCTAGCAAGGACAGCGTACTCTCTGTGGGCTCGAGAGCGGTACCATCACCCAAGCCCGAGAGAGAGAGGAGTTTCTCAGCCGTTCTGCATCGGAGAGGGAATAGCGCAGCACCAGCAGAGCCTTGAGAGCGGTGTATCATCACACGGTGGGTGGACAGCGGATCCAGCAAGGCCACCACAGGATGGTATTTCGTGTCATCGGCTGAAACGCCACGAAGACCAAACTGAGCTTCGACATGCACAAACCAGGAAGGCCTGGAAGGCCGCCACAGCAAAAATTAAAACGTGCAGCTCTGCTATCACTTCCAACATAAATGAAGACAGAAAAATAAACAGCAGCGACGCTTGTAGGGTTACTGAAGTCGGGCTAGCTGGTATACAATGAGGTGCTGTGTGGTGGCTAGCTACACAGCTATGGCTAGCATAAACACAGTGAAGCTGGAGGATGAACGCTATGTCACATGCAGCCATGATTTACTGTTAGGAAACAAGTTAACAGGTGTGAACATGTTTAAAGAGCTGCCGTTAGTTTTCCTAACCTTTTCCAATCCTCCATGGATCAGCTCTTCCATCTCCTGCTGCTCAGAGGCCCCGCCCACATGCAGATGGCAGTGGATGGTGGAGGTACTGACTCTCGAGCAGCCGCCTCCAATTAAAACCCCTCCAGCAGCCAAATTAAACAACAAACACTGTGGTCCGTGCTCACAGATGGTTGCAAAATGTCTCTGTTGCCAAATTTGGCAACAGCGAGGCTTTAAGCTCGACTCCCACAGGACAGACAACACCATCGTGTTCTTCAGGGAGGACTTAATGAAACCTTTATTAGAGGAGTTAACATTCAGCGAGGGGCTGCAGAGGCACAGAAGGACTCACAGAGGCAGAATAAACGGTTCTGCGTGGAGGGGTCGTTCAGCCACGTTTTGACCTCAGTGATTAGTTTCTTCATATCACAGACGGCTCACAATACAAGCAGTTAATGTTTGCGCAGGGCAGATAACGACTCTGCTGTAATTGATTTGTGTTTGACTTTCACCCGCAGCAGAAGTGAAGCAGGAAATGAAATCTTTAAATAGCCCAGTGAAAGACAGACACTCACCGTCTCCGTCTCCTGAACCAGAACCGGGATCTGCGAAGACACAAGAGACACAAACCATCAGATTTCTGCTTGTTATTAAACCCTTAAACCAACCGTCTCCTGGACGGGAAGCCATGCAGCTTTTTAGTTCCTTTAGTGGTTTATTATATAAAGATCTTTTATTTAAGATATGTGCTTCTACAAACTTCATATATAAAGTTGTTATTTATTGTAAACCCGACTAGAATTTGCAGCCCTGAACATCCAAGGGAAGATTTCAGATATATGCAAATGCCCTCCATGTTACGGATTCATAAGACTGTATGACTTTTGGGCTTTTTAAAAAGAAATCAATTCCATTACTGACTGATGATGAATTTTCGGTGTGGGCTTGAGCAGGTTTGCAGCATTAAAGCCACTGTTACTGCGATTATCAGGGACTTTGAACATTATTGAAAGAGGTGTGCATGTAAAAATTGTCACTACCATACAGTAAGTGAAAATAAACCTTGGACATGTTCCAGGGAGTACCTCGTACCACTTGTGGTACTTGGGCTCTCTCTGGTGGTAGGCGGGAAATCTCCAATGTTTTTAAAGATTAAATAATATACCATTGTGGAGGTATGCAAAGATGACACAAAAGTTTCCGAAGCTCTTCTGGGAGCCTGAGTCAACCAAAAAATGTCTCCCCGAGCGTGAGTCCTCTATGAAGAGCAGCCTTTCCTTATCGCCAAAGGTCGCGGGTGTTACAAAGCGCTGGCGGGCTAGTTTCCCTGGGTCTTAAAACTGCAAAGCCAATTAGTCCAATCCAGTTTCAGTGGATTGGACTAATTGGTACTGGTTTAAACAAGAACCAGACCCATTTATATAGCATCAGTACACAGTCACCTACGAGCAAAAACCTGGAGATGGTC